CTATCCACTCTATCATATGTTTTTTCTAAATCCATAAAGGCAATGAAAACTTCCCTACCTTTATCTACATACTGTTCACATATATGCTTCAATGTAAACACTTGATCTACACATCCCCTACCCACTCTAAAACCTCCTTGCTCATCTGCAATCCTACTCTCTGTCTTAGCTCTAATTCTCTTAATAATAACCTTACCGTACACTTTTCCTGGTATACTTAGAAAACTTATTCCCCTACAATTTTTACAATTTCTTTCGTCTCCGTTCCCCTTATATAAGTAAAGGAACTATACATGCTCTCTGCCAATTCCTAGGTACCTTCCCCCTCTTTCATACATTTATTAAGCAAAAATACCAACCACTCCAACACTATATCACCCCCTGGTTTTAACATTTCTATCGTGATCCCATCAGTTCCAGCTGCTTTACCCCCCTTTCATTTTACGTAATGCCTCACGCACCTCCCCCCCACTCACATCCTGCTCTTCTTCACTCCTAAAAGATGATATACCTCCCTGGCCAGTGCATGAAATTACCGCCTTCCATTCTTCATCGACATTTGAAAGTTCCTCAAAATATTCCCACCATCTACCCAATACCTCCAGCTCCAGGTCTTCTAACTTCCCTACTCTGTTTTTAACTGAAAAATCCATTCGTTCCCTAGGTTTTTTTTAACTTGCTTATCTCACTCCAATTTTTTTCTTTTTTTCTGCAAAATTTCTTGACAGTGCCTCTCCACTCAATCATCTGCTCTCCTTTTGCACTCTCTCACCACTCTCTTCACCTTTCTTTTACTCTCCATATACTCTGCTCTTCTTATAACACTTCTGCTTTGTAAAAACCTCTCATAAGCTAACTTTTTCTCATTTATCACACCCTTTACTGCATCTTTCCACCAATCACTCCTCTTTCCTCCTGCCCCCACCCTCCTATAACCACAAATTTCTGCCCCACATTCTAATACTGCATTTTTAAAACTCATCCAACGATCTTCAACCCCCCACTACTCATATTTGCACCAGCCCACCTTTCTGCCAATAGTAGCTTATATTTCACCCGCACTTCCTCCTCCCTTAGTTTATACACTTTCACTTCGCTCCTACTTGTTGTTGCCACCTTCCTCTTGTCCCATCTACCTCTTACTCTAACTGTAGCTACGACTAAAGAAAAATACGATGTATCAGTTGCCCCTCAATAAACATGTACATCCTGAAGCCTACCCATCAACCTTTTATCCACCAATACATAATCTAACAAACTACTTTTATTACGTGCTGTCATACCTTGTATAGTTAAAATAATATATACATATATATATATATATATTATATATATATATATATATATATATATATATATATATATATATATATATATATAAGATCACAGTAAACAGGTGGTTTTTAAAATATGCAAAACAACCACTGTGAAAGAGTAGTGATATTCCAAGCGCTTTATTGACTACTCACATTGACAATGTGAGTAGTCACGAAAGAGCTTGGAATTTCACTACTCTCTCACTGTGGTTGTTTTGCATATATATATATATATATATATATATATATATATATATATATATATATATATATATATATATATATATATATATAATGTCGTGCCGAATAGGCAGAACTTGCGATCTTGGCTTAAATAGCAACACTCATCTTGCCATATAGGACAAGTGAAAATTTGTGTATGCAATAATTTCGTCAAAATCATTCTGAACCTAACGAAAAAAAATATATTTCACTGTGTTTGTTTAGTATTAAATTATTGTAAACAAATCTAAAATATATTTAGTTGGGTTAGGCTAAAATAAATTGTTCTTGTTATAATAAGGTTAGGTAAGTTTTCTAAGTTCCTTTTGGTGCAAAATTATAAATTTTTACATCAACATTAATGAAAAAAAAATACATCTTTAAACGTATAAGAGAAAATTTTAGAAAGGACTTAATTTTAAATGAGTTCTTTCTAATTGATCAGTTTTACATATTCGGCACGACATTATATATATATATATATATATATAATATATATATATATATATATATATATATATATATATATATATATATATGTGTGTGTGTGTGTGTGTGTGTATGTATATATATTATATATATATATATATATATATATATATATATATATATATATATATATATATATATATATATATATTATATATATAAGATTATGCAAGCACAAAATGATCTAGGATTATGGATGTAGTGTAAAAGGGTTATTAACATTTTAAACAGACATGAAAGGGTGAGTGTTAAGGATACGAATTCTGTGCACGACGACTATAAGATTAAATGTTATTATCCCGCCAGGGATAATAACATTTAATCTTTATATTTCATCCCCATGAGAAGAGCTCATGGGGTTGAAATATAAATGTATTATATAAATCACATTCACGCTTATTATAGAACTTTTTAAATTCGTATATTTTGGATAGTTTTGGGGTATTGCATGACACCGAGAAGATCGACACCATGCCACAGCTGGCAGCTCGCAAGATTGCCATTCCCATTAGCCATCCCCCCCGGTGCATCGATGGCAGACCAGAGAAGCCTAGGTTCTCCCTACGAGCCCCGTGAGGGCGGGAAATGTGGCTAGGCCTGGGGACAGTTGGTCCCAACGATGAGGGGGTACTTGTACCTCCTCCCATGGGCGACTTAGGTTTCACTCTCTAGACAGGGAGCCAAGGCCGGGCCACCACTTGGAAAAGGTCCGGGCCGGGAGAATACCGGCGAATCAAGAAGAAGTAGAAGAAGACACCGAGAGAGTTCATGAAAGTTATAATTAGTTCCATATTGAGTGACCTATGACCTATGTTGAGATGTCTGTCAATGAAAACATGTAATTCAGGTTTATATGTATTTATTTACCAATAGACTTTGAAACTACAACTTTATGGATAGTATAATACACCACAAAACATGATTAAGATTTCTTTACCCATTTGTAACCTGATTGCCAACTTGCAAAGCTTCTTATTATATGAAACTTGCATCTGTGGGGAATTTCTCGCAGATGAAGGATCCTAGATAGTTACAAAAATAATGCAGAAAATACCCTTCTAGTCTACCCAGGCACAGGCAGTTCATAGTTGTATTAGTTAAAGGGCGTCCAGGATACCAATATATATATATATATATATATATATATATATATATATATATATATATATATATATATATATATATATATATATATATATATATATATATATATATATATTATATATGTATATGTATATATGTTGTGTTGTGTGTGTGTGTGTGTATAATTACTAAGAGCTTATTGTACATGCACATTGGAATACTTATTAGTCTTTTTTAACACAAATGTTTATATTGAATTTTTAAGAAATTTTAAAACCCTTACGAACATTATGTGATGTGTTTCTGTTGTTCATTGCCTCGTCACGGTCTTGGCAATATATTTCTAAACTTATTCATCACGACATAAAATATTACACTTACAATGAACATAAAACATCACGGTTCTTCTAAGTCTGAGATCTGGACAATGGCCCACAGTTCGTGTTTTGTAGAGTTGTCTGATGTGAAGTGATTATGGTCTACAGTAACTCAAAAACTCACCAGGTCATAGCAGTCTCGTGGAAGTACAGGTACTCGCCTGCCACATCTGCGAAGGGGTCGTGACATGCTGGCAACATCACCATGAAATAACATTATGTTACAAATGGAGACTAACGCTGACAGATTTGTAAGAGAGAGTCATATTGGATGAGTTTAACGTTTATTAACGATACGTTTCGCCCACCAGGGGCTTGATCATGCCAGTGGTTTTTAAGACTCTCTTCTCTTCTCTCTGTATTGGATTGATAAAGTCCCTGGTGGCCAATACTGTATATATGTCTTTTTCATGTGAAGAAACATATATATGAAAATTATATTAAGCAAACTTTTCAATAATTTTTATGCCACATTGTTAGCATAAAAATGAAATTAACTTTATAGTACATAATGAAAATTAAATAGGGTAAAATATAGATTAGAAACAATTAAGAACCTCTTTCAGTATTTCATTAAAGATTAAGCAAATTCAGTTCTAACTGAGAACAGAGAAGTTAGTTTGTATATATTCTGATAAGTATATCCCTCATAATGTGTGTGCACTGGGAGCAACATGTATCCATGAAGAGATACATATCTCAATTTATTTACTCTTAGAATTTACTTTAATCCCGCATTGCCCTTATATCAGATTAAAGTATTTTCGAATGGTGGTGAACAGGTGACAAGCAGCCTTAATGACCCTCTGAACGTTCAGTCGGTAGGATTTAAACCCCATTAATCAACTAACCATATGATTTCTTCATCGATATAGTGCCTACGAGGCCTGGTCATGGACCGAGCCGCGGGGGCGTTGACCCCCGGATCACCCTCCAAGTATACAGTATTTCTTATACCTAAGCAACAGGAGTGAGATACCAAATATTTTTTACAACTATAATAAAAATAATTCATCACAAACATATATTCACGAGGTTGGTGTGACTACTTTGTTTGTGAGGCTATACAAAGAGAACGTCTCGATACTGGTGAATCTTTTTTGTTCCAAGGAACTGGAGCTACCATTGTATTCCTCGAATCTAAAGTTATCATGAATGGTGTGATAATCTCTGTCAAAAAGTCTCACTGTTATGATAAAAGAATATTCACTTTGCTAATTGTGCAGTAATAATAATAAGACAGTTGCATGATATCCTTTTTCTAATATCATTTTTTATTTTATGATGTATAATGTAGAAAGAATAATAATCACCTAAAAACTAAAATTGTTAAATTTCACTGTATCTATCGGCAGCATCTTATTGACAAATCAACTGAGAGACCTGATAAAATACACGGATCTCACGTTATCTGTGACTCTGATAGAGATAACAAAGTTATTTGTACTCACCTTCGAGTACCTTGGTGCTACGTAATTCCCCGCCGCTAGTGAGGAACACTCTAAATGTCCACTCTCCGGAGTCTTCAAAGCTGACAGAGTTGATGACGATGCCGCACTGGTTGTCTGTGAGATCCTTCGGTGCTCTCATCCCTGGGTGAAAGCCACTGTGGACATCCTTGACCTGTAAAGATTGTTATGACGATATCATTTGCCCTCTCCAGGTAACATCAGCAGTTGTGGTGAAATAATTCTCAGTCTTCAACTACAGTGATTAGAAACTCTATAACCTGTAAGTAATTGTGGGAAGGACATACACCCTCTATCATTAGTTACGAGATAATGTACCTCCTGTTTAGAGTCGCAAAATTATTCACAACCTATCAAAACATATTTATTTTAACTAATTTAGGTACAACCATCACCATGCACTTACCCTCATATAAAGATAGAACAAGAACTGTATTTACTTAGTACACACATCACGCAGGATGATTTTTCCTGTCATATACAATCACAAAGGTTGAGTTCCATTCAAGAGGTAACGGAATTTATTAGCAAGAGATGGAAGACATCAGCAGGGCGATGATAATATCGTCTAGTATATTCTACTACGAATTTAAAGATTTTCTTCCAGCACAGATGGAGTTACTTTTACATTGAGATTACAATTTTGCATAATATATTACACAGATTAAGTAAACTCATTATTCAAAACTAAGAAAATTATCATCAAAAATTATAACAATGATTTTTTTCTTAGTAATTTTTCTAAATGTCTTATATAATTGCTTCCAGGTAATTAACAAAATTTAATTGCAGAATTTATAGTAAACTTTGAGACTATGCAGCTGGTAGTAAGTTCTGGGAAGACAAGTAGTGGGGTCGACACAGTTGTAAAATAAAACGTCGGAAGTCAATACGAGATAGAACGGAAACACTATTACACATATTTAACAGTAATATGAATATATTTTAATGGGGAGTGTGTCCGAAAGTTCTTGACGTGCTCTAGATTCAAGGAATTAGAGCTACCTTCCTTTCTTCATATAAAACTTGCTAATCCCCTATTCGCCAGTAATTATAGTAACATTAATAATAATAATAATTATTATTATCATTATTATTATTATTATTATTATTAATATTATTTTTATTATTATTATTATTATTAATATTATTATTATTATTATTATTATTATTATTATTATTATTATTAATATTATTAATTATTATTATTATCACTTTCATTATAATAATAATAATAATAATAATAATTTTATTATTATTATTATTATTATTATTATTATTATTATTATTATTATTATTATTATTATTACTTAAAAATCGAATTGTTCATGTGCAAGCACGAGAGGCTGTGACCTGTCTTGATCTGTTTTGGGGGTTTAGTGTTGAGTGTTATAGAGCACCATGACTTGCTTAGACTTAGAGTTCAAGGTGTTGCAGGAGGTTCTTCTTCTCAAGAAGAAAAATAAGAAACTGAAATTCTCCTGGATTAGTATAGTAATGAATGTGAGGTGGTTGGGTTAGTGAAGGAGAAACATGTTAACAGCTATGAGGACCAGATTGGTATCAGTTACAAGTTGGAAGTAGTGTCCAGTTAAGGAAGAAACATCAAAGTGAGAAAGACTAAAAGAGCATATTTGAATGTAGGAAATCGCTTTTCTGTTCTACAGGACGAATGTACTTCAATGGTCAGTGAGGATAAAGATACCATTAACTCCTCCTCTAATGAAGAATATCCTTGTGGTCGGTGACTCACAGGTAAAATATATTGTCAATGCCTTCTGTAGCAGGGGGATGTCAACTTGAGACACCTAAAATGGAAGAGTGCAGCAAATAATGTTTTAGCAGAGACCACCTCAGGAGGCAGCTCAGATGAAAATTCGCACACACTCGAGCTCTTAAATCTCTACACAAAATTCACCTTAAACCAACTAATAATAGTCTACAAGACTTGAGCATACACTGGACCTCATCTTCACTTACAATGATGATCTGATACGTAATATAACAATGTTAAAGACAATTCACGTAGATCACAACATAATAAAAATATAGACATGTATGCGCAGGGATCCTGACCAACAAAATGTGATCAGTTTTGAGGGTGCCTTCACAAAATTCAACTTCAATAACAAAAATATACACTGGGAATAAGTCAACAATGTCCTAAATAAAACAAGTTGGGAAGATGTCCTAAACAACACGGATCCAAACTTTTGCCTAGAAAAAATAAACTTTGTGGCAAGTGCTCAAGGTACATTCCAGTATGAAAAAGAAAGAGAAAATGTAAACTTGAAAGAGAAAGACACTCCCTGTACAGGCGAAGGTGAAGAATCACAGAGCTCCTGCGAGGGGCAGTATATCTGAAGTACGAAGGGAGGCATTACCTGGAGTTTACCTGGAGAGAGTTCCGGGGGTCAACGCCCCCGCGGCCCGGTCTGTGACCAGGCCTCCTGGTGGATCAGAACCTGATTAACCATACGCTACGAGAAATAGCAGATATCGAGCTTAAGCTTATGGAATCTTACAGGAGACAAGAATCTCAGGAAGAACTTAAAAGCTATAAAGGAAATTGAAAGAAACCCAAAATACTTCTTCTCTTATGCCAAACCTAAGGCGAAAGCAACATCCAGTATTGGACCCCTGCATAGACGAGATGGAACCTACACAGATGACAGCAAAGAAATGAGTGAAATACTAATGTCCCAATACGACTCAGTGTTCAGCGAGCCGTTAACCAGACAAATGGTTGACAATCTTAATGAATACTTTAGGACCGAGCCTCAAAATTTGGAAAGTTAGCATAAATGGGAAGATATTGGAGTGAGGACTCGTGACGATCAGTGTTTCGCTGGGGTCAGTGTTGGGTCCTATGTTGTTCAAAATATACATAAACAATATAGAGGGAATAAATAGCGACATAAGCAAGTTTATCGATGATGCTAAAACAGACCGTCGGTTAATTCTGCTGAGGACTCTAGAGCACTACAAGATCTGGCAATGGTTAGAAAAGTGGCAGATTTTAATCATTCTGAATGCGAGAAAGATATATTAGCTCTGGTTAGCAGTAATCTAAAGCTAAGACAACAATACGTAATAAAATAGAATTCTTGGCTTCAAATCAAGTATTAATAACAGGAGTCCTCATGTTGTACCTCAGCTCTAAATATCACTGGATAGGCCTCATTTATATTATGTTACGAAGTTCTGGTCACCCTATTACAGAATGGACACATATGCTTGGAAAACATACAGAGAAGGATGAAAAAGATGATCCCATGTATCGGAAATCTTTCTTACGAAAATTAACTGAGGGCACCGAATCTGCACTCTCTAGAAAGGCAAAGAATTATTGAGCATTATGACTGAGGTGTATAAATGAAAGACAGGAATAAATAAAGGGTATGTTAATAATGTGCTAAAACTAACCAAGACAGAATTTGCAGCAATAGATTCAAGATGAAAAAAAATTAGAAAGTTTGTAGGAAAGCATTGGTTTAATAAGAGAGGTTTGGATGAATGGAACAAATTCCCGTGAAGCGTCATTGAAGCGAAACCTTTGGTAGCTATAAAAATAGGTTAAACAAGTAAATGAGTGTGTGTGGGATGTATGAATTGGACGTGGCTAGCAGAGGCCAGTAGGCCTGTTGCAGTGCTCCTTCCTTTTCACGTTCTTATTTGGATTGGTCATTGCAACATTTCAACATGAGTTGGACAGCTCATAAAAATTATAAGGAGATATATTGTAACATCATGAGCTTGAAAACAATTTGTGCGTTTTCTGCAAACAGTACATAAATCCTACAACCATGAGTATTTAAAAAAATGAAAACATTGAGGGTAAGAACATTAATCTTGCCTCAGCTGTGGTAATGACGCCCAAAACCATGTACCTAAAACATATGAGGTTCAATGCTCTCCTGTAGTCTGAATTCAGAGGTCTGAATAACGGAGGGGATAAAAATGTATGGGATTAGAGTGGAAGGGTTATTAGTAAAGAAGCTAATTCTTCTCAGAGTTGACAAGTGTCAACTCTGAGAAGGACTAACACTGCTGGCTCTAGACTTTTCACTTGTCATACTATTAAAATAAACATCATATATATGTACATGCTGAAGTTATTGTTTTACCCAAACCATGGATTCCTAAGACAACATCAACCTTATCTAAATATCTGAATTTCGTTCATCCAAACAGCTGAGAACTCTGTGATTTTATAATAACATATTATAAACTTATATTAATATCACGTTCCATTTATATTAATTATCGATACAGCAAACATTTAAGGCACCTGGAAACTCCTCCCATCTTCGTGGTCCCTGATACAAAAACTAAATTCTTGCTCGACTCCACAAGAAAGAGTCAGCGATTCCCCTGGTATCACCTTCAAATCAGCGGCGTCGAGATGAGGGAGGCGTCTGCTGGGGCAAAGGAGAGCTATGTGGATCACAATGTCTCATGTTCACATGCACTCACAACATGTTGTTCGTTGAGGTCATGTACACGTTGCGCTGCTGTACTGAAATTACTCACCTGACGCAGACCCCAACGACAACACCATTATCATCAAACGGAAAATATGTTAACCACTTCTAAGTTGCTTGTAGAAGTATTGTTCAATCAGTGTCAATGGAGGTTATATACCAACTGACGACGGCGCTGCTGATGCCAGGTGTTACTTATTCTTAGCGTGAAGGTCTCAGAGGAATTTATCGTTTTGAAAACACTTGCTAATGCCTCAGAGATGATCAGACTACCTATATTTTGTTTAATGGTGTCTGAAATGCTAACTTTTGCTAACTACCTCATATATTTTTTTTTCTACTTTTTTTATTCTTTTGCTACCTTAACTTGCATATTTTATCTTGTCAATTTAAATCTAGTTATACTCTAATTCTTGTAAACAACTTATATAACACCTTAGTGCAATTACAATTGAGAGTCTTGTGCCTTTTTTATATTATTAGATTAAACTCAGTTGTACTATAGTCAATACCAAATTCATTATATTAGACCATATTGCAATTACTAGTGAGAGACTGGTGCTATTTTTAATTTGTATTGTTATATTATTAGATTAAATCTAGTTGCACTATAGCTCATTCTAGCTCAAAACATAGACTCCACAAAAGTCATTATATTAGACCTTAGTGCAATTATTTGATTACCACTTTATTGTTCACCAAAACTTATATTAGTCCCTTTTATATTATAATTTTATATTATAATTCTAACTTTAAAGAATTACCTTTAAAGTACTACCTACTATCATATTCCCAAGCTCCATTATTTGATCATCACTTTATTTGTTCACCACAAATTATTTTAGTCCCTTTTATATTGTCTCCTTTATTTTAGCTTTAAAAAACTACCTTAGCTCATAATTTTTACATTTGTTAAATAATTCAGGTGCTATTTTTTTTTAGCTTTAGAATATTTACTTTATTTTTTACTTAATTCTAACTATAGATTCACTACAAATCTTATGATTACAAGCATTGATCCTGATACCAACCTCTTATTTAATGACTTAAATGATTCAAACAGTTACTGTAATTACTACACAGCAGAACAATCAAAGCACTTCTCGAGCTAACAACAACATAACTATCTTTAACTACAATATCAGATCTTTAAGCAAGCATTATGATGACCTCCTAGCATTACTAAATTCCTTGCATGCCAATATGTCCCATCATTACACTAACTGAAACCTGGCTAAAGCCTGATACTACAGATGTCTATGCCATTCCTGGTTACACAGCCATACACAACTGCAGGCCAGACCAACAAGGGGGTGGCACTGCTATATACTACTCAGACCAACTAGAATGTATCACTAATACTTGCACAAGGATGAACATGGGGAATATATAATAGCTAAATTCAAATCCAAATACCTACAAAAACCTCTCACAGTGATAAACATCTACAGAGTTCCACAATCAAACATTAGCCAATTTAGTCAAAACCTAGGAAGTATGATAACTGATGCACGCATGAACAATGATCACTTACTACTCTCGGGTGACTTCAATATAAATCTCCTGCAAGACCAGGACCCACACGTTACTGAATTCACAAACACAATGAGTAACTGCATGTTGCTACCAACAGTAACAAAACCTACAAGAGTTACAGAGACTAGTGTTTCCCTACTTGACCACATCTGGACCAACACCCCATATCCCCTTTAAAATCAGGCATAATTACAGATAATACCACAGCCACTACCCTACTTTCCTCATAACAACTCTTGGTAAAATCCCCCAAGACACTACTAAAGTCACCTTCAGACTTCACAATGAGGCAGCCATTAATAACTTCACAACAGCAGTAACAAACATTGACTGGCACACTGAGCTAGAAATCTATACAGATATTGACGAATGTTTTAAAATAATTTTCTAAAAAAGACCCAATACCTTTATAACAAGCACTGCCCTAAAAAAACTAAACAGATGACAGCTAAGAGACAGAACAGTCCCTGGCTAACACCCAGCATTCTCAAATCCATAAATACAAAACACCGATATGAAAAACAGTACAGAATGGGTCACATAACCAAAGACCAAACAAAACGTATACTCGTCAATCCTAACCAGCCTGATAAGAAGGGCAAAAAAATTGTATTATGAGAACAGATTATCCAACTTACAAAGGTGATATAAAAAAGACCTGGAAGACCCTATCAGAAATTCTGGGAACAAAAAAGATATCACGACATAGCGAAATAAAATTAGCAAAATCAGATGAACCCCAACAGAAACAGCAAACAGACTCAATGATTTCTTCTCCACTATAGGTCAAAACCTTGCCAATAAAATCCCAAGCTCAGATACCCCACCAAATGACTACCTCACTGGCAACTACCCAAACACACTGTTCCTAGCTCCGACTAACCCATACGAAGTCTCCCTTATTATCAACGCACTGAAAAACAAGGCAGGAGATTTAAATACCTTACCACCCTTTATATACAAAAAAGCGTCACAAGTACTATGACCAATCATTGCAACACTCTTTAACAAATCCATTGAATCCTCCACCTTCCCTACAGTTCTCAAAATAGCAAGGGTCACCCCGATCCATAAAGGAGGAGACCAAACAGAGTTGAATAACTATAGGCCAATATCCAATTTACACCCTCTCTCAAAAATCTTCAAAAAATTAATTCATAAACGAATCTACTCCTACCTCATCTCCCAAAACATTCTCAACCCCTGCCAATTTGGATTCAGGCCTAATAAAAATACTAATGATGCTATTATACACATGCTAGAACATATATACACTGCAATAGAGAAAAAAGAAGTCCCACTGGGGACTTCATTGACTTACGTAAAGCTTTTGATACAGTTGACCATGACTTGCTCCACGTAAAATTGTCACACTATGGTATTAGAGGGCACTCCCTCAACTACCTCAAGTCTTACCTCAGCAACAGAAGCCAATAAAGTGTACGCAAATGGGGCAAGCTCTTCCGCACAACCAATTACAGTTGGTGTCCCACCAGGGGAAATGTCCTTGGCCCTCTTCTCTATCTCCTATACATAAATGACCTACCAAATGCTTCGCAATTACTCAAACCCACACTTTTTGCAGATGACACTACATCCGTCTTCTCTCACCCGAGCCCAGTCACGCTAGCCAATACTGCAAACACCGAATTACAGAAAATATCTACCTGGATGAGGACTAACAAACTTACACTAAACATTGACAAAACCTACTTCATTCAGTTTGGTAACAGAGCTACAGATGTACCTCTTAACATAACAATAAACGGATCACCTATCACAAAGCTAACAGAGGGAAAATTCCTAGGAATCCACCTTGATAATAGACTCAAATTTCATACACATATACAACAAATTTCTAAGAAAATCTCCAAGACTGTAGGCATACTATCGAAGATACGGTACTATGTTCCACAGTCAGCCTCCTGGCCCTTTATCACTCTCTTATTTACCCCTATCTCACCTATGGAATTTGTGCATGGGGCTCAACAACAACTAACCATCTCAGACCACTAATTACCCAACAAGAGGCTGCAGTTAGAATGATAACAAATTCTCACTACAGGCAACACACTCCACCAATATTCAAAACACTCAACCTACTCACCATACAAAACATCCATACTTATTATTGCACCTATTACATACATAGAACACTTAACTCTGATATTAACCCTCCCCTCAAACATCTCCTTGCCAACCTCAACAGAACACATGACCATAACACAAGGCACAGATCACTCTGATGTTCCTCGTGTCACCATACAAAATGCCTAAAAAAATCTGGAATTCATTACCTGTAAATATAAAAGAAACACTACCTGTTTATAAAATTCAAGTCTCTTCTCAAAGATCACTTACTCACTCAAAACCAAATAAATACTGAATAACTGAACCTTATAAATTGTATATCCTATATGTTACTCACAAATACATCACACAAATGTTAAACCTAGGACCCAATCTAACTTTATTATTTTTTTAAATACACTACCTAACAGAATACTCCATTCGACTGAATGTACAGCAATGCAAGCAACCATATGACCTGTCTTTGTAATACTCATTTGTACTTTATAGTTATCTGTTTACAATAATGTTTTATCACTGATTTCATCATTGCTTAGTTAATCTTAAGTTAATTTTAAGCCAGCCCGTAATGCTATGCATATAAGTGGCTTTGGCATGCTGCTCTTACCTGTATTTTTTGTACCTCTGTTTGTATGCTTAAATTACTAAATAAATAAAATAAATAAATAAAGATGATTTAAGGCATTTAAGTCTGCGGAAAATTACTGTACTTCTTGAATCACTAGGCGGCCGTCACTGAATCTCTTGAGATGGCTGGAAGAATTTCTATTCTGTTATTTCTGTGCGTTATTCAAGTTGTTGTTTCTATATTTGTTGTTGTGTTCACTGAGACGTGTTTGAAGGGTACGTGCTGTTTAACGGACGTATTCCTTGTCACACCCACTACAGGGACTGTGTAAACACGTGCATTAACCAGTTCAATGTTCTTCACTTTTGGTTCTGTTCAGGTCTTTAATGTGTGTACTGGTTGCGACGGCGACTTTAGTGTTGGCTTGTGCAAGTACAAGCCAACACCAGGCGTTAAGGCAACTTGCCGTTGGGATGGATTATGGCTTTGTTTAAAGAAGTGTTAGTGCGTGATGAATTAATTATTTGAAGGACTCTCTTCCTGCGGTTCTTGATAAAAAAAATGTAGCTCAGTGAAGGACAATTAACTTGGGGCTGAAAATTCTGTATGCTCATAAGAAAAATCCGATGAGGATGCCTCGTTTGGTCTTAGTATCTTGATTGGAATAAAAGTGTGAGATCATTTTTATTTGTAGGTTCCTGTAAACTTGGAAATTAAGGGAATTGTCTGCTTATGAGTGAGGACGTCGAGAAATGGTAACCTATCACTGGACTTTTCTACATGTGTGAATTAGATGGCCCGTTCAACTGTTTTCTTTGTAGGTCAGAACGTGCAGAACCTCTGTGTTCTTGTATTGTTTTTAGCGGCTTGATAAAACACCTTTTACTTAACATATTGTCAGTAATTCTGTCATTAT